TGTATATGTATATGTATATGTATATGTATATGTATATGTATATGTATGTAGGTTTGTTTTCTTAAGTTTTCGCGGGTACTTACATGTATGGTATGCAGCTTTGTTCGGGTATTTTCCCACGTCATTATAGTTGTGCTTTTAAAGTTGTAGCAATGTTTCAGCAGAATCTCATTTGCCATCATCAGGCTTCTGTATTGTGTATTCTGTATCACAGACGAACACAATACAGAAGCCTGATGATGGCAGATGAGATTCTGCCGAAACGTTGCTACAACTTTAAAAGCACAACTATAATGACGTGGGAAAATACCCAAACAAAGCTGAATACATACATACATACATACATACATACATACATACATACATTTCTCAAAATTCAATACATGCTCACTGTTTCCACATTTTTAATTCAAGAGGTCCCTGCATCTGAAGGAATAACACATAAACACACCTGATGAAATGCAGAATATCTCATAGCTGTGGATGGGTGTCATATGGACTTATTTGTGTATTCCACAGTGCGTACAAGATATTTTTACAATGATTTTTTCCCGCCACTTTCTGTCATAAGTTCCCTATGAAATAAGTATAAATAGATGGTAGAATATATGTAATTATTTACATAGACGTGTCTGTGTGTGTGTGTGTGCACAAAACACGACATACACATGCATATCCTTATTCTGTATTTACATTTATCAGGGAACATACCAAATGAAATCAGTCATGCTTTGTATAAAAAAAAAAGACCAATGTTTCTGTGTGAAATTATCTTGTATCTTCTGGAAGACAGAAGCGAAGCAGAGCAATAACTTGTTGTTGAACCAAAATGTCATGTTTGATTTGCACATATCAGCTGGATCTGGGCTGTAGCTTCACCTTACAAGGACATTGGCTTCCCACCTTGTGTCTTTTGTCTCTGCCCTAAAATTGTACCACCGGCGCTGTACAGGTAATCCTCAACTAATGACCACAATTAGGACCAGAAATTTCTGTTACGAAGCAAGGCAGTCGTTCAATCCAATTTTACGACCTTTCATTGCCACGGTTGTTAAGCAAATCACTACTGTTGTTAAGTGAATCATGCAGTCATTAAGCACATCCGGCTTCCCCCGTCGACTTTGCTTGTCAAAGAAGACAGCTGGGAAGGCCATAAACAGCCATCACGTGACCACAGGATACTGCAACCATCATAAATGCATGCCAGTTGCCATTTTGAATTTTGATCATGTGACTGCAGGGACTCTGTGATGGCTGTGGGATTGAAGACACTTTTTTCCCAATGCTGTTGTAACTTTGAACGGTCACTAAATGAATGGTCATAAATCAAGGGCTACTTGTATTTGTTCTTCATATTAGTTGCAAGTTTCCACTCCTGAAAATGCTTTGTTTTCTTCTTCCATCGTATCTGTGTCAAGCATTTAACGTCTTTTAAGAATTGTTCCACCTAAAAGAGAAATTAGGGAAGGGTTATGTCCAGGCCCTGGGAGAATCCTTTCTTTGTGTCTGTGTAACATAACCAATGATGTACAACAACAGGAGGACACAAATTGAAATCCACAAGGCTCTGGACATGACCCTTTAGTGCAGCTGCTGGAAATCTCCAAAAGTTCCTACCCATTTTCAATCTTTCATGTGTAGGAAGTGAGAAATTTCAAAAGACCAAATTCCTCTCTGGAGCATTATCATACTCACTATACTTAATTTCAATTAAATTTTATGTGTAAATGAACTAAAGAGACAATGTCGTTTTTATTCCGGCTCTTGTTCGCTACTTTCTGCTGTAATTCCTCATCTTACCTCTACATCAGGGGTGTCCAAACTTGGCAACTTTAAGCCTGGAGGACTTCAACTCCCAGAATTCTGGGAGTTGAAGTCCTCCAGGCTTAAAGTTGCCAAGGTTGGACACCCCTGCTCTACATAGAAATCGCTTTCATCTAATATGTCTCTTCCTAAAAGGAAAAAAACTGGGTAAACGGGCAAAATCAAGATCTTGTCCTGGCTTGAGGATAGGGAATTTTCTCCTTGTTGGAGGATGACAGTATCAAACAGGACAGGATGTGTATTCCAACAGGTTTCCACATTGTGAAGCCCTTCCTGGAATGGGAAAGTTCTCCTTAGCTTCATCTATGCAATCCACGTTCCTTTTCATAAGCTCAGACAGAAAAGGATAGAGGCTCTATCACTTCCTCATTTCATGAGCTTTTGTGAGTCTTCCACAACCACTCATCTTGGAAGGAGGAGGGGAGGAAATTCCCTGTTTTTACACAAGGGACATCCTGTATTGTGCTTTTGTTCTGTTGGAATTCATCAGGACTCCTCTGGGTGGGGGAAATAGGCAAAATATGCTTAGGGCCATATGAAAAAAATCAGCCTCATTGGTGCTAAAGCTTACAATCCTCTTGGGTCTTACGACAGCAGCGGTCTCCAAACTTTCTCATTTCGGGGGGGAAGGGGGGATAGTTTCGTACACAGTCGTGCACAGTGCTTTCACAAATGCGCGCACACACACACACACACACTCGCCCATCACTTCAGTGGCCCGGTTCCGAACAGGCTGCGCCCTGTCACTGGGCTGTGGACAGGGGGTTGGGGACACTTGATCTATGGGATCTAGCTTTTTGATGGATCCAGGTAGGGATGAACAGACAGGGATCGGACAAGATGCCTGAGAATGCTATGGGTAGCCAATAAAGCAAACAATCAAAACAGAGTTCTCACTGGAGGCACAAATGACCAGATTCAAATGTGTAGCTTGTACACATTATGCAAAGACTTAGGAATGTAGGAATATTCTTTATTGGCCAAGTGTGATCGGACACACAAGGAATTTGTCTCCAGTGTATAAACTCTCAGTATACTAACTAGAGACCATTTCACCGAGGCTACCATCAGTGGCGCCATCTTGAGACGCCATCTTAGCTCTCTAGGGAAAACTCTAATGCTGGAAAAAATGGAAGGAAAGAGCTGAAGAAGAGGACAATTAGTTGCAAGGTAGATGGACTCAATTACAGTGCTGACCGGTGCACCATTGGAAGACTTGAAAGAGAAAATCTGTGTGGTTACTAAGAGTCAACACTGACTTGATGCACATAACCAATGTTTTGTTGGCAGAAAATCCAGGATTTGATGGCATCATTAATTCAACAGTGATACAGGTTTGATTGATCTGAATGTCCCAGAGGTGCTTTGGATAGTTCATTGTCAGAACTGAAGAAGCTTCTTGGATAAGAAATGAAATGTTTTTAAGGAAAACAAAGTCCAGTTGCCTTTTGAAAAAGCACCTTTGGGACAACCATGACCTGGATGACTGAGAATCTCCCTAGACATTGAATTGGATGGACACAATCTGATTCAGCATAGGGAATTTTCTAGAGCTACATTTCCAACTTTTGATTGATGTGGCCCAAGGCTTCATCATCACAAACCTTGAGGGACACCACATCGATGGTTAACAATGAAACCCTTATATACACTATACCATATATGATTTCTCCCCACCGATAGCACCCAAGAATACAGGAAAGAACCGCAGAACCTGTCCAAGTTTCAAGTAAGAAGTATGATGCTTGGTCAGATTTGGGCCATTTAGATATCCTTTTAATTTTGATTTTTGCACCAAAAAACACCTTTGGGATTAGGGTTTACTAAAAATGTGAGTCATTGTTCTAAGACAGTGTTTCTCACCCTGAGCAACTTTAATATGGGTGGACTTCCATTCCCAGAATTCCCCAGCCACCTTTCTGTACTGCAGAAGCTTCTTGGATGGAAAACGAAACGTCTTCAAGGAAAATGAAGTCCAGTTGCCTTTGGATAAAGCATATATGAGACATGGGCCTTTAATGCTCCCAAACCCATAAAACTATCAAAAGTTCAAAGCAAAATGTCAAAGGATAGCAATGCGTTCTCATCCATCTACCCATCCACCCTGGTCCCATTTTCAGTAGGCAGATAAAAGAAGCCAAGCCTCAACACTTAAAAAGAAATGGAAAACAAAAGTGTCCCCCAAAATGGGAGAGGGGACCAGAGCATGGAAACCACCCTGACACTTCTGGTGACATCGTTAAGTCATGTCTACACTCACAGTAGCCCCCTGTAAGCAAAATAAATTCATCACAACAATTACCATAATGAGGCATAATCCAGTATTTCTCAACTTCGGCAATTTTAACGACGTGTGGATCTCAATTCTCAAAATTCTCCAGCCAGGATGCTGGCTGGAGAATCCTGAGAGTTGAAATCCGCAGATTGTCAAGGTGTGCTGAGGTTGAGAATCACTGATATAAACAATCAGTTGCTCAAACTTTGCCTGCAAGATGCCACCAACTGGATTTTTGCTTACTACATACCATACAGTGTAGAGCAGTGTTTCTCAACCTTGGTCACTTTAAAATGGGTGGACTTCAATTCCCAGAATTCCATAGCCACCCTGGCTGTAGAATTCTGGGAGTTAAAGTCAACTCATCTTAAAGTGCCCAAGAGAAACATTGGCTTAGAGCAAGGGTCTCCAACCTTGGCAATTTTAAGACTTGTGGAATTCTCGGAGTTGCGGTCCACAAGTCTTAAAGTTACCAAGATTGGAGACCCCTGGCTTAGAGCACTAGAAGATGGAGACATCACTGGATGAGGCAGGTCCATAATTCCCTCCATGCAACGCCTCCCCAGAATGTCTCATGCACAGGAATTACATTAGGAAGACAAAGCTACCTACAGCGCACTATATCTGGCACATAATTCCTCCCTTGCTAATTGCATGGATATACTTCGTTGACAACCAATGAAGAGGCTTTTCACATAAATTTAGAACTGCCCTTGACAGCAATTAAGTAATTTTTAATGAGCTTCCCTCTCCATTTCAGTAATACCCCTCACCGCCCCCCAGGGAAACACTGGTGCATTCACCAAATTTGCAGCTCAGCATTTTTTTTTTTTATTTATTTTACTGGCATTTATTTTGCATTTCAAACAGGTGAAATTAACACCCATTTGGAGAATGTGGCTAGCTCAGTTCCCTTTAGCCAGCTGCCTGGTCTCCAAACATGCTGGATTACTGCACCAGATCCGCAAGCTGGGGTAAGCCTAGATTACAATAAACGCAATAGCCAACCTTATTCCATTCTTTCAGCAGTGAATTTATTGGCCCCAAGTTTGAACAGGATTGTCATTTCAGAAGACGTTTTGCTGAGTCACTTCTTCTGAGAACAGGCCAAATTTGCAGGACAGCCCTTGCCAAGAAAGGCGGGCGAGGGGGATATACACACACCTTTATTACTGTACGCTACAAGTTCAGGCTGGTTCCTTGTGTCAGCAAGTGATAGCAAACGAATTGTAGTTGTAATGGGGAAGAAGAGACTTGTAAAAAGAATAGAACAAAGGCTTTGTGGAGGCTTTTTTTAAAAAATTGCTGTCTACCTTTCTAACAACTGGATGCAGAGGTATACAGGTAATCTTTGACCTCAGTTGGGACCGGAATTTCCATTGTTAAGCAAGGCAGTTGTTATGTGAGTCACACCCAATTTTCTTGCCATGGTTGATAAGCAAATCATTAAACTTTTTAGTGAGTCACCTTGTCCTTAAGCAAATCCAGCTTCGCCCATTGACTGTTTGTCTGAAGCCAGATGGGAAGGCTGTATATGCACAACACAACAAAGTACAACAAAGAATGTTCTTTCTGCACCAACTCAGAAAGCTCAAACTACCCAAGGAGCTGCTGATACAGTTCTAGAGAGGAATTATTGAGTCTATCATCTGCACCTCTATAACTGTCTGGTTTGGTTCTTCAACCCAACAGGACAGACACAGACTTCAGAGGATAATTAGGACTGCAGAAAAAACAATTACTACCCACCTGCCTTCAATCGAAGACCTGTATACTGCACGAGTCAAAAAGAGGGCTGTGAAAATACTGTATTTACAGACCCCTCACATCCCGGACATAAACTCTTTCAACTCCTATCCTCAAAATGATGCTATAGAGCACTACACACCAGAACAACTAGACACAAGAACAGTTTTTTCTTGAATGCCATCACTCTGCTAAACAAATAATTCCCTCAACACTGTCCAACTATTTACTAAATCTGCATTTCTATTATTATTAATTTTCTCATTGTTCCTATCACCCATCGCCTCCCACTTGTGACTGTATGACTGTAACTTTGTTGCTTGTATCCTTACGATTTTGTATTGACTATTTCCTAGTATGATTTGATTGCTTATTGTACCTTATGACTATTATTTAAGTGTTGTACCTTATGATTCTTGATGAATGTATCTTTTCTTTTATGTACACTGAGAGCATTTGCACCAAGACAAATTCCTTGTGTGTCCAATCACACTTGGCCAATAAAGAATAAAGAATTCATGGCGACCCTGGGATGCTGCAATTGTTGTGAATACATGTTGGTTGCCAAACATCCAGTTTTGATCACTTGACTGTGGAGATGCTGCAACAGTCACGAGGACTGGTTGAAAGCCACTATTTTCAGTGGCATTGTAATTTCAAATCGTTACTAAATGAATGATTGTAAGTCAAGGACTACTTGTACAGCAACTCAGAATATCTACAAACAAAAATGAAGAGATCCCTACAGATGAAAATGTAATAAAAATATTAGAATGCACAGAACTGGATAGATTAACTCTCAAAATAAAGGAGAAGGAAGAAACAGAATATTTTTTAACAGGGGATTCGTTTTATCGGTGGTTAGTTGACAGAAACAGAATTTAGAAACTCAAAAGTTTAAGAGAATGATTAACTATACAATGAAGGTATATTAATATGGATAAACAAATATTATGTGATTATTATCGATTCTATGAATATTATTGTTATTACTATTATTATTTTCCAAAACTAACTGTACCCAGACAACATACACACGTACGCACACACACACACACACACACACACCCATTTTTTACATTCAATCACATGGTTCTGACTGCCAATTTGACTTTTTGGGAGGGCGCTACAGACACCCTTGCTGTTACTAAGTCAGTGGGAGCCAATTTGGTCTAGCGGTTAAGGCACCAAGCTAGAATCCAGGTGACTGTGACTGTGTCCAGCCTTAGGCATGAAAGCCAGCTGGGTAACTTTGGGCCTATCACCAGGAGATTATGAGTTCTAGTCCAGCCTTAGGCATGAAAGCAGGCTGAGTAATTTTGGGCCAATCAGCAGGAGATGATGAGATTTAGGCCTGCCTTAGGCATGAGGGCTTGATGACTTTGGGCCAATCACTAGGAGATTCTAGTCCCACTTTAGGCATAAAAGCCAGGTGAGTGACTTTGGGCAAGTCACCCTGTCTTAGCCCAACCTACCTCACAGGGTTGTTGTTGCAGGGAAAAAAGGAGGAAGGAGGAATATTAGATATGTTCACCAACTGGAGTTATTTATAAAAATAATAAAGGCAGGATGAAAATAAATAAATAAAAATAAACTGAATGGGGAGCTTTCTCATGGGTAATAGAGATGAGGGGAAAGCCTCATCCTCTGTTTTACTTCCTGCAACGACAATGAAACCTGGAAAGACAATGCCTATTGTAATTAGAAAATTATGCACCATGTACAAATGTTTATTTTGTCTCCTGGGTCAGCTAATCAGTTTTGTGGGCTAGTGCCCAAATTCTAACATTATGAGAAACAAAAGAGGGAAGGGTGTTTTCCTTGGCTCAATTTTTCCTAAACCAGTGCCCTTCAGATGTGTTTGTTTATTTATTACATTTTTTAAAATCCCACCTTAATTGCTTTATAAATAACTCAAGGTGGCAAACATACATAATACACGTTCCTCCTCTGATTTTCACCACAATAACCCTGTGAGGTGAGTTACATCCAGAATTGTAAATAAGTAGGAATTCTGGGAGTGGTAGTCCCAACATAGGCAGAAGGTTTTGCTCTAGCCATCAATCATCTGATCTATTTCCAGCATAAAGATGTTTTAGTTTTCGGCTGCGCAAAACTGAGCTGCAGATTGGTCACTGAATTCTGAGATCATGCCAAAGAACCCCGATGACAAAGACAAAAAGAAGGTGGACAAATAGCAGACAGCTCATTCAAGCTCAATGCTTTTCCTAAATCAACAGTCGGTATGATTTACTGTGGTACCTTGCCCAGTTGTACATCCAGACAAACCAGGGTCTTCTGGAATGGCCCTGTGGCTATAAGTCAACCAACGGATTTAGGAGAACTTGGCTGTGGTCCTCCACACCTCTTAGAGCGGTGCATCCTCAACCTTGGCAACTATAAGATGTATGGACTTCAGCTCCCAGAATTCCCCCTGTGGCTGAGGAATTCTGGGAGTGGAAGTCCATACATCTGAAAGCTGCCAAAATTGAGAGAGAATTCTCGAAGAGAGGGTATATTCCAGAATATTCTGAAGCAGTGTTTCTCAACCTAGGCCACTTTAAGACATTCATGCTGTCTGGGGAATTCTGGGAGTTCAAGTCCACATGTCTTGAAGTTACCTATGTGAGAAACACTACTTTAGGTGTGTTGCTGATGAGATCACCAACCTCACAAGTGAAGAGGAGCTGTCCTTGGCATCATGTTTCAATTTGCCCAAGCATTTCCGCCTACCCATCCCCATAAATCCCCTGAGTTTTGAGAAGTATGCCTCCTAATGCTGCTAAACTTTATCTGGATGCATTTGTCAGATTAATTGCTTTCAGAAATATATGGAAGAACCTCTCTTTTGGGCATGTCTGTTCTTGTCAATCATTCACCCTGAGATGCCAATATTAAGTTTGATCTTCAGAGGTCCCAGGAATGGAATAAGGGGAGAGAAAGTTTATTCCTTGAGAATCTATTCTCATTTTCATTGCGTCAAAACACCATCTTGAGGGAAACAAGATAAACTGCTGATTCACACAGATCTTCTTTTGTGTGCTACCAGATTTCGCAAAACCATATCATCAGGACTACACAAAATATATTTAAATCACTTTAAATTTTGTCTTAAGAGAAATGTAAACTCTCACATAGGTCCCCCTTTAGACTAAATGTTAATTTACTTGCAAACAACTCCCCTTTAACGACTGTAATTCCTTAATTGGGGGTAGAGTCAGGGCGACTTGACCTTATTTCACAAACCTTGCACTGAGTTGAATTAGTAGTTTATTTGTTTGTTTAATAAAATTCCCTTGTAGTGCTTATGCATTCCCTATTGTTCTGCCTCATTACACACTGGGCCTCTGCCCTCAACATCTGTCTTGAGGGCACCACAACATCAAAACTGTAGCTAAAATTCAGCACACAGGAAATACCTCTGTGTTTTCTTGCTGTTTTAATTAAGATGAACAAAAGCCAAACAAGTCAGCATTGGAATTTCACATCAATATGGAGGAAGGACCAGCCAATTCTACCACACCTGAAGGTAGCAAGCGAAACTGGGTGTGTAAGAAACCTTCCAACAATAGGGCAATTGCTGGGGTGGAACACCTATCCTGAGAATACAGAATTCAGAATAACAGAATTGGAAAGGACCTTGGAGGTCTTCTAGCCCAACCCCCCTGCTCAGGCAGAAGACTATACCATTCCAGACAAATGGTTGTCCAATCTCTTTTTTAAATCTCCAGTGATGGAGCACCCAGAAATTCTAGCTATCAGCCATTCCACTGATTGATTGTTCTCAATGTCAGAAGATTTCTCCTTAGTTCTAGGTTGGATCTCTCTTTAATGATCTTCCATGTATTACTTCTTGTCCTGTTCTCAGATGCTTTGGAGAATACGTTGACCCCCCTCTTCTCTCTGACATCCCCTCAAATACTAGAAGACTCCTATTATGTCACCCATAATCCTTCTCTTCGTTAGACAAGACATGCACAGTCCCTACAACCGTTCATAGTACACTTTAGCCTCCAGTCCCCTAATCTGTTGCTTTTTTCTGCTTTTGCCTAATGGTGAGATGCATTGTATCAGGGACATCCCCTCCTCTTCATGTCAGAGAAATAACTTAAGGCACTTCCGAGTTGAAAGAATTAGCCAGTGAATATCACCATTTGCCCGGGGGACACCTATGGGATCTCCTTTCATATCCCTGGAAGGAGCTGGAGCAAATGATGGGAGCTCACCCTGAAATGCAGCTCTTAGGTTTCAAACATGGGCTTTGCTAACTTCCAACTCTGCATTTTTAATCACGTGAGCCATCAGGGGCATAATTTGTTGGGACAGCATTCTAAGCAAGTGCTTATTGGAAAAGATAGAAGCTACCAATAAAAGACTTTC